ATCTACTACAGGTTCTCCACCCATGTGCTTGTTTTTGTGTATTTGTGCACGCTTGTGTGGGTGTGGGTGTCTAAGTAATGTGGAGGTCAGAGACTCATGTCCCAATGTTTTTCATATGATATATTTTGATCATATTCTTTCCCTCCCCAGATCCTCCCCACTTCACTACCCACCCAACTTCATGTTTTTTTATGTCAAAAAAAAAAAAATCAAAGCAGACAGGTTAATTTAATAAAGAGAAATCAATAAGTCAAAAAATCAAAACACACACACACAAACCATGGATTCCGTTTTGAGTTGGCCAACTATTCCTGGGCATGGGGCCTGTCCCGGAGTGTGGTTGATATTCCCGTGACACTCCAATATAGGAAACTGATTTTCCCTTTCCCAGCGGGTGTCAGTGGCAAATAGATGCTTAGTTAGGGGTGGGACTTTGTGTCCACTTCCCCTCTTCAGTGCTGGGATTTTGTCTGGTTTGAAAGCATAGATCTGTGTGTGCTGCCTTGGTCTCTGTGAGCTCACACAGGTACCAGTCCTGCTGTGTCTGGAAGGCACTGTTTCCTTGGAGTTGTTCACCACCTGTAGCTCTGACAATCTTTCTACCTTCTCTTCTGCATGGCTCCTTGAGCCTTGAGGGGAGGGGGGTTAATGAGGGTCTCTGTGTTAATGCCCATGCACTGGAAGAAGAAGCCTCTCTGTTCCTCATCTTATCTTCTGAGACAGGATTTTTCTTGAACCCTGGGCTGACAGTGTCACCTAGACTAGCTGGCAAGCTCCTGAGATCTGCTTGTCTTTGTCCCTCAGCACTGGGGGAGGGAGTTGTTCCAGAGACAGGCTGCCACTCATCCTCACGTGCTTACACAGCAAGCGCTTTACACACTGAGCCATGCCCCCAGCCCTTCCACATCCTTTCAATAGGACTCTAGGCTGGAACCCCGAATTCAACACCCCAGCTCTAGGAGGGCATTGGTGATCTGAATGACAGCTGTCCTAGTGACGCTTTCTCATGACTGTGATGAAAATAATTGAAGAAAGCATTTATTTTGGATCACAGGTTTGAAGATACAGTCCATAGCATGAATGGCATAGACACAGGTGTGTGAGGCTGCCGGCCACATTGCATCTGCTGTCAGGAGGCAGAGAAAGATGAATTAAAGTACTCAGCTCACTTTCTTCTTTTTATTCAATTCAAAACCCCAATCCATGGGATGGCGCCATCTACATTAGGGTGTGTCTTCTCACCTCAACTAACCCAATCTAGAAACTCATCACAGGCATACCCAGGGGTTGCCTCCTAGGTGAATCCAGATGCTATCAAGTTGAGAATATTAACCATCACAATAGCAGTTCCCATTCTGCAGATAGGAAAATCTGAGGCTCAAAGAGCTGAGGTAACCTGTTTGTTCATGGTGCCAGAAGGAGAGGCCGAGCTGGGGTCTAAATCCAGTCTTCCTGACTTGATAAATTCTTTGTGCTCAGCTGGGAACTTCCCCAGCTCTGTAGACACATCAGCAGAGAAGGGGCATCTCCTTCCCTCGGAAGGTCAGGCGGCATGCTGACCCTTGGATGGGGTATTCCCCCACCATGTCAATAGCCCGACTTCTGGGCGATACATGCCTTGCAATCATATTCTGAGCTACTCTTCCCATTTCCCTCATGGGGCCCTCCAGACTCTAGTTCCTCTGAAAGGTCACATCCTTTTTCACTTCTTGCTCCTCGAACTCTCCCTCCTAAAACTGAGATACTGTTGTGCCTCCCTGTTCCATCCTTGCTTCTGTAATTCCTCTTTTCAAAATGCTGCATCTTGGTGGTGACCTGAATTCAATCCCTGGAACCCACATAAAGGTTAATGGGAGAACTGACTCCACAAGGCTGTTCTCTGACATCCACACACTTGCAGCCCATGTGTGTCATGCACATGCCCTACGCAGAAAGAAACAGGAGTGGGGAGACAGACAGACAGACTGACTAGATTCGTGCAAGTCTAGTGAATTTGTGAGTGCACCACCCATGTCCCGTACAGAAGACAGCATGCACAGCACTCCCCCCCCCCTTCTCCAGCTCTTATGTTCTTTCCGTCCTCACCTGAGCTTGAAGGGGGTGATAGAGAAGTCCAGTTCAGGGCTGAGCACTGAACAGTTGCTGGTTCTCTTCACACTGATCAGTTGTGAGAAGGCTGGACCTATCATCATGTCATCACGGATGAAGGAAGGGCCTGTAAGGCCCCATCCCTCCAAGTGCACTGGCACACTCATCTATAAATGTAGTAGGTTTTACGCGCGCGCGCGCGAGCACAAACACACACACACACACACACACACACACACACACACACACACACACACACGGGTGTAGGAGGGGGTTTGGAAGGAGGATTTGGTGAAAGGGAAGAGTAAGATAGAAAGTTGGTGGGCAGAACTGTCATTAAAGAACATGGCGGCAGGAGCATGAGGCAGATAATCACATTGCATCGCAAGTCCCAAAGCAGAGATCAATGAATGCTGTTGATCGGTTCCAGTTCTGCTTTTTATACAGTCTGGAACTCCAGGCCATGGAGTAGTGCTACTCTTGGTTAAGATGGGTCTTCCCACTTCCATTAACATAATCTAGAAACTCCCTCATAGACGTGCCCAAGGGTTGTTTCCATGGTGATTCTGGGTCCTGTCCGGTTGATAATCAATATTAGCCATCACAGAAGGTCAGCTCATGATAGTAGATCCTCATAAGTGAGCTGACGGCCTCATAAATGAGACTCCAGAGAGCTGCCCAGGGGACTCCATGGTAAAGGCGCTTGCCACCAAGCCTGACAACCTGAGTCCCATCCATGGAGCCCACATGAGAAAAAGAGACACATTTCCACTGTGGCATGCCTCCTCCTCCAATTAACTAATAAAAGAAGAAACCCCAGAGCTGGCATGGTACCACATGTCTGTCATCACAACACTCAGGAAGTGGAGGCAGGAGAATCCAGATTCAGAGTCAACTTTGGCGGTATACTGAGTTGTTCGAAGCCAACTTGTACTAGGTGAGACTCTGTTTCAGAAAAAATCAACCAAAGAGGGATGGAGAAGAGAGGGAGAGGGGAGAGAGAGAGAGAGAGAGAGAGAGAGAGAGAGAGAGAGAGAGAGAGAGAGAGAGAGAGAAGAGAGAACATACTACAGGGGACCTGAATTTGGTTCCCAACACACACAGAGGGCAGCTCACAACCACCTGTAACTTCAGTTCGAGATGATCTAATATCCTCTTCTGGCCTCCTCAGGCATTGTACTCACACACACAAATCTACACACATATATACATAATTTTAAATTTGATAGGAGACTCCAGAGAACTCCATGACCCCTTCCAGCCTGTGAAGACACAGTAACAAGAAATAATCTAAGACCCAGGAAGCAGCTGCAGCTTCCTCTTCAGCTTCCTGAAGTCCAGAATTGGGAGACACAGTTGCTATTGTTCTGGAGCCACTGTGTCTGTGACCCAAACAGACTGAGGTAGCTCTATTGGTCAGCATATGGGCAAGCACTTCTTTGGTGGTGGTAGTGGTGCTTCGGATAGGACCCAGGGCTCATGCAAGCTGCAGTCCCAACTGTGGATATGAGGATGTGTGTGCATGGAGCTGTATGTGTCCTGTGGTCTCACACGTTTACAGGATGGGGTGATTGTGCCATGTTCCATCACCATTACACCAGGGCTTCATTTGGGACTGACATCCCGTGAAATTCTTCCCTCAGAACAGGTGAGCAGGAGGCTAGAGAAATGGCTCAGAGGATAAGAGCCATCTTAAGAGGTTAAGAGCTGCTCTTCCAGAGGTCCTGAGTTCAATTCCCAGCAACCACATGGTGGCTCACAACCATCTGTAATGAGATCTGGTGCCCTTTTCTGGCCTGTAGGCACACATGCAAACAGAACACTATGTATCTTTTTTTTTTTAAGGCACAGGTGAGCAACACAGCCCATCTGGGAGCACTGTTTTAGCAGTATTTGTCACCTGGGAGGGACAGAGAAGATCCAAGGTCACCTAGGAAGGCCAGAGCAGTACATACCAAGTCAAATCTAACAGGGAAAGGTTGGGCTTCTATGTCAGGCAGACCATGTAGAATAATGTCTGCACATCTTCCTCCCTCCCTCTCTCCCCTCTCCCCCCCCCATAGGAGTGCAGGCACTTGTGTGCCACGGTGAGTGTCTAGATGTCAGAGGAATACCTCAGGAGTATTCCTCAGCTTCCACATTCTTTGAGACGGGCTCTCTTCTCCATCTCTGCTGTTGACTCCCAAGCTAGCTGATATGCAAGTCTTCAGGGATTCTCCTGTCTCTACCTCCCACCTCACTGTGGAGTGCTAGGGTTACAGATGTGTGCTATAGCATCCAGGATTTTTTTCCATGGGTTCCAGGTATTCGAACTCAGATCCCCCAGCTTGCATAGCAAGCACTGTACCCACTGAGCCAGCTCTCTAGCTCAGTGTCTTTAAATCTCGAGTCGGTAAATCCCCATCATTAGAATGGATGATGTTTTACTTGAGCACCGGATTAAACCTCACCCTGACAATTCACAGCAAAAACACTAATTTTTCTTATTCTTCCTCCTCCTTTTCATCCTCTACTTCTCCTCCTCCTCTTAGCCTCTAACATTTCTAACTTTCTATGCAGCCAATGAAAACCTTGAAATTCTGATCCTTCTGTCTCTACCTCACAAGTTCTGGGACGAGAGTTACACACCACCACACCCAGTTTCTTCAGTGCTGAGGATTGAACCCAGGGCCTGTGCATTCCAGGCTCTTAAGCACTCTTTCTACTGAGCTACATCTCCAACCCCTCACTGCTCCATTGCACAGCTGAGAAAACCAAGTGCCAGTACTGAATGTGGCTTGAACAAGGACATTGACATCAAAATATACAGCACAGTTCCTAGCCCAGGCTCCCACCTTCTAGCTGGGTCAAGCAATGCCTCTCTCCCCACACTTTTCCGGAGTGAGGATGGCCCCATCCTGTTCCCTTTTTTCCCTCCTGAGTCAGAGAAGAATGGACTTTACAGGGGGTGCTCCAGAAGGCCATGGGGTTATATAAATCCCAGGGCAGAGAGGAGGAGGAAAGGGGGAGTCAAGACAAGCAGAAGATGGCAGGAGAGCCAGAGACCCAGCAGCCAAAGTACCATGGTGAGGCTGGGCACCTCTGGGTACTGTCAGGGGGGCTGGGTCCAGGATCCAGGGTGATATGTGCATGGCCTCCAGCTTGGGGTGAGAGAGGTGGCCGAGCTTTGGAGGTCAGCTGCTGTGTTCTGTCCCATTCAGAGGAGGAGGTCACATTTGGAGGGCAGGGATGTGCTGAGAACGACCCTGAGGGTCTCACTTGCAGCTCCAAGAGCATGCCAGGTACTGGGGTGACTCAGGGACAGAGGTGTCAGGGGTCCTCTGCAGAATGAACACAGCAGGGCAGGATCTGCCCCTGGGACCTCAGCTCTGCCCATCTGCCCATCCTGCAGAATGTCTGGCCCGGGTGCCCTGGCTTCTCCTGCTTCTCATCTCTTTGGGCCTCTTTGTGCTGATGTTGGCCATCCTGGTTCAAGGTCAGTCAGGGCAGGGCTGGGGAAGGGGGACTGGAATGTGGAATCCTTTCAGGTTGTTTTGTGGTTGGTTGGTTTGTTTTGGGGGGTTGTCTGGTTTGTTTTTCTTTTACTTTGTTTACTATTTTATTTTTGCGATTGTTAAACAAGAACTCCAGCATGGGACACTAACTGAGCTTTTAGATTTTCCCTCTGGGATGACCCTTGCCGAGCCCCCAAATTCATCAGAGGTGGGACATCTGAGCCGCACAGTCCTCACTTCATCTGTGACCGGGGACAGCTGACTGTCCCTCTCTGAAATGGGGCCCATCTTCCCCTTGGAGCTGAACTCGGCACAGCCAGGCACCATCAGTGCTCACAGAGGCTGTGGGTGTGCCCTGCTTTCTCTCTTGCAGTTTCCAGGGTTCATGCATCCCCACAGGGACAGACCCCAGGTCAGCAGGGGAGCTCCAGCTTGGGTGAGGGGCACCTGGGGCCCTGAGGGGGAGAGGACTCTGGGGCTGTGTGAGGTGGGCAAGCATGGGCACAGGCTTGCTGGGGGTGTGGCAGGATGTGGGAGGCCATGGACCTGTGTCAGGTCCTGTGTCCTGCAGTGTTGGGACTAACAGGGTCTGAGACTCAGTGTCCTGGCCTGTGAAATGGGCTCCTGGGGTCACTGTGACCACCAACAGTGATCTTGTGGGTCCAGCTCTGCACCAGGCACACAGCTGGTGCTTAATTGTTGCAAACCTCTTCTTGTAGTTGCTGTTCCTCATGGGCAGACACACTCCAGCTTGGAGCAGATCCAGCAGCAGCTGACTCAGATCAATGCCTCGCTGGGTGAGGCTCCAGGGCCTGAGTTAGGGGGGACCTGAGGGGTCATCAGTGGGTTCGGCATCTGCCTTCTGGGCTTCCACCGAGGCAGGCAGGATAGAGCACAGGGATTGTGGTCTGGGTTTTGGGAGCACTGGGTTGGTAGCTGAAATAGAAGCGCAGCCCTGGGCTCTAAGGCCCAAGGCAGAGGGGAGAAGAGAACCCAGGCTCATGGGTCCCCACTGCACTGTTCACTCTGCAGCTGGCCTGTGCCGGCCCTGCCCCTGGGACTGGGAGCTCTTCCAGGGAAGCTGCTACCTCTTCTCCAGGACTCTGGGCAGCTGGGGAGCCTCGGCCACCTCCTGCCAGGATCTGGGTGCCCACCTGGTGATTATCAACAGTGTTGAAGAGCAGGTGAGTGGGGTCACATCAATCCTACCACTTGTCCTAGGCATTGTTTTCCAGATGGGAGGCTGAGGGACATGGAGGAGATGCATTCAGAGGAGGCTTCCTGTAGGAGGAGGCACAATGGAGTCGGGAGGTCCTGTAGGAGAGGAACACATGAGTGGTGGGCTAGGTGTGAAGGAAGTCAGAGGAGCTTTGAAACATCATGTGACCCTCTTGGGACACACCTCTGAGCTAGGATCCAAGTGAACATATTCCACCCGTGTGCACTTTGACCTGCACCCATGGCATGCATTCACCAGCCAGTCCACACAACTCGACTAACAGCACTAAGCTTGAGAGCAGAAAAGCTTGTATGGGAGGCAGGGAAGAGTGGGGTCATGGATGGATGATGGAGGTGTCCTTCTGACTCCGTCCTCTTGGCTCCCACCTCCATTCAGCTCTTCCTCAAATACTGGCACATCAGAAAGAATGAACGCTCCTGGATTGGCCTCAGTGATCACAGACATGAAGGTTCCTGGCAGTGGGTGGATGACACCCCCCTCAGACTCAGGTGAACTCTCAGAATCCATAGCCCAGAGGCAGCAGGCCAGGAGATAGACCACCCCTAAACACAGCCTTTGGTGTTAGAAAGCACCATGGCTACTTCAAATGCAGGACCCCATATCCCTGGGTATTCTGTCCCTTGAGCCTAAGGTCACTTCTCCAGAATCTACATTTTCACTTTGCTGGGATGATTCTCACGGAGGTGAGGTTAGACCCCACGTTTTGCTAAGCCCTGCCCTGCACTCCTGTCCATTGCCTTGGTCCTCAGACTTTGTCCATGAAAGCCCAAGATCCAGTACCAATGCAGTGGATGGGGTGGGGATCTGGACAGGATGGCTCCTCTGATAACTAGTAATGTTTGCAGCTTCTGGCAAGAGGGGGAGCCCAATAACGAAGGGGATGAGGACTGTGTGGAGCTGGCAGAAGATAAATGGAATGACAGAAGATGTACCGCAAACAACTTCTGGGTGTGTGAGCAGCCCTCGGCTCCCTGCCCTCGTCACTGAGGGTCTGGGCTTCCCCTGGGCATGCAGGCAACTCAGGGGCACTCTGCTCTAGCTCCAGCCACCTTGTTCATCCCCAGTGTCCCTGCTCTGAGTCCTTAGGGATCCGGAGAATCCCTGAGACACCCTCCCCTGCAGCTCTTCCCTCTTCTTCTGTGGATCATCTCAGTTGCTCTTCGCAGTCACACACGCATGGATCTGGGGTGTGGCTCAATGGCACACAGTTTGCCTAGCATGAGTGGGTCTCTGAGTTCCATCCCTAGCACTAAAATAAATGAACAAACAAATAATTAAATTCACACATGGTCTGATGTGTTCCATTCAGTGGATTACCTATTCCTGGACACTGTCTTCATTAGCAAAGCTTTGAAATGTTTGATATTAACTAGGATATTAGTGTCTACAATACCTTTTTGGGTTGTGAAGCAATGTTTTTTGTTTGTGACAGTCTTATTATGTACTCCTGGGTGACCTTGAACTTGTGTAGATGAGGCTGGCCTTGAACTCAACAGAGATCCACCTGGTTCTGCCTCCTGAATGCTGGGATTAAAGGCATGCAGTGCTACACCTGGGTGAATCAGTTTTAAAAAGATTTTTGAGTTGGTACCATACATCTACTGAGTGCATTCATATTCATTCATATTCTCTCTGTGGGTGTGTCTATCTCTCCCATCTCCACATGTCTCTATTTGTCTCTCTTCATTCATTGAACAATTCATGAACAATTATTCATTCACAACCCCCCAAATGCCTCTGGATAGTCTTATGATTTCATTATACATTTTAAAAGCATTTCTTCCAGGTTTCTTGCGGCCACTGTAACACTCACAGACTTGGTGGGCTACAATGCCACAAAGGCATCATCTGATGTTTCTGGAGCTTGGCACATCCTTTGCTCTCAAAAGAAACCTCTGTGGGACTAGTCAGGAGTCAGGGAAATGGCCAGCCCTCTGGGTTTCCTCACAGGCTACACAGAGCCACCCAGAGCTCAGTGTGGTTTCAGCCACAGGCTGTAAAAACCCAGACCACACTTCCGGCCTCCTCAGCGTTGCCTTGGCTGGACCTTCTGCCTGGCACCCTGTGCTTCCTCCACCTCCCCAACAGGTTCCATGTTCTCAAGAGGCACACCAGTGTCATCTAGTGGACGGTTCCCCTCACCTTGAGTCTCTCGGTCCCTCCTGCCACTGCAGGCCAGGGGAAGGAGGAAGAGTTCCACATAGCACCTTAGCCCCTGTCCTTCAGGAAAGCTGTCTCCAGAGCCTGCTGCCACCCCAGCCAGGAAGGCTCCTTTCCCTGCTGATGCCAAAGCTCAGCGCCCCTTAGTGTCTTGAAACCTAAGGGAGCTTTTAGCATCTCAGAGGAAAATTCTCCATCCGTCCTCTGGGTGGCGCCCGACATCATGGAAAATGTTGTGTTTGCTCTGTTGCCCCTGACCTCCTCAAGGATGCCTGGCTTCCCTCACTGTCCTCAGGACCAAAGACAGTGTCTGTCCCTGGGAGTCAGGGACCACTTCCCCTCTCTGCACTTGCCGGGGGGGTCTGTGCACCTCCAACCTGGCTGGCTGCTGCTTCTTTTGAAGTTAGAATTTAACTTTTTTATTGTACCGAAGCCTACAGTTATGAAACCTTGGATATCTTTTTAAAAAACTGCAATTTTAGAGAGTCCTTGAATATTTTAGACAAAGTTTGCAATTTTAAAGAGACTTTGGGTGTCTTAAAGAGGCTGGATTTTTTTTTTTTTTTTCAAGACAGGGTTTCTCTGTGTAGTTTTGACTATCCTGGAACCAGCTCTGTAAACCAGACTGGCCCTAAACTCACAGAGATCCACCTGCCTCTGCCTCCCAAATGCTGGGATTAAAAGCATGGGTCACCGTTACCACCCAGGGAAGAGGTTAAATTTTTTAAGTTGCATGAATTTTTTAAAAAAAACTGGAATTTTAAAAGCTGAAATATTTTATGTTGTAACATTATCTTGAGGATAAACAAAAAAGGAAACGTTATGATTTAGCAGTAACTATGTTTGTGTGTCAAGATGACAAAGGGTCATTTGCCCTGGTTGGTATTTTTATCAACTTGACACAAGCTAGAGTTATCTGAGAAGAGAGACCCATGATTTAAAAATGCCTCCATAAGATTTGCCTATGGGTAAGCTCGTGACTGATGTGGGAGGCCCAGCCTGTTGCGGATTGTGCCACTGCTGGAAAGATTGTCCTGGGTATATAAGTAAGGAGGCTGAGCAAGCCAGCAGGCACTGTCCCTCCATGGCTTCCACTTCATTTCCGGCCTCCAGGCTCCCACCTTGACGATGGGCTGTGGTCTAGATGTGTGAACTAAAATAAACCCTCTCCTCCCTAAGCTGCTTTAGGCCGTGGTGTTGATCACAGCAGGAGAAACTCTAAGACAGCCACTGTGCTATTCCTCTCCGTGCTGTAGCAAACTATGTGACAAAGCAGACAAAGGATTTGCTTTGGCTGGTTGTTGGAGGATGCAGCCCCCCCGTGGTATCAAGAACGCACAGTAGCCGGTCCCTTTGCATTTGGAGTTCGGAAACAGAGAAGGGTGCACTAGTACTCGGCTTGCTTTCTCCTTTCTGGCGGTTTTATTCAGGGCTGCAGTACAGCCCTTCAGATGGTGCTACCCACCTTGAGGATAGGCCCTCCCTCCTCAGTTAAACGTCTCTGAAAACACTCTCAGAGATGGTGGTGGCTATTCTTGGTTGTCAACTTGACTGCATCTGGAATGAACTACAATCCAGAAATGGAGAGAACACCTGTGAGAGTTTTTTCTTGGTTTGAAGTGGGTGAATCTGCTCTAGTCCAGATCTTTGAGGTAGGAAGACACTCCCCTTTGATTGGGATTTTGAGGCAGAAGGACACATCTTTAATCTGGCCCATGCTTTCCTCTGGAAGCCTATATAAAAACATGGAAGAAGGAAGCTTTTGCTATATGCCTGCTTACTCTTGCGGTACTAACAAGTTCATCCCTTTATGGACATTAGTGCCTACTTCTTTGGGATTCCAGTGTCTACTGAAGATCAGCTGAGGCATCCAGCCTCATGGACTGAGCAACTTCTGGATTCTTAGATATATATATATATATCATTAGGATATATATATTATATATCAATCACAACATTTATATATATATATATATATATATATATATATATATATATATATATATGAGAAAGACAGACAAACAGAGAGACAGACAGAGACAGACAGAGAGAGAGAAATTCGTTCTATTAAGTTCTTGTTCTCTAAAGAACCCTAATACAGATATTTTGGTAACAGAAGTAGTTCGAGAGTAAGCTGAAACAGCACCCTCCTTGGCCTCCACATCAGCTCCTGCCTCCAGGTTCCTGCCCTGTTTGACTTTCTATCCTAACTTCCTTCAATGATAAACTACAATGTGGAAGTGTAAGCCAAATAAACGCTTTCATCCCCAACTTGCTTTTGGTCATGGTGTTTCACTGAAGCAATAGAAATCCTACTTGTATGTAGCTGAAGTTTTCTCCAGTCCTGCCAGGCCCACGTTCAGGACAAATCTCTCTCACCCACCAGTCCCACAGCCACTCAGACCCAACCAAGTAAACACACGGAGACTTATATTGCTTACAAACTGTATGGCCATGGCAGGCTTCTTGTTATCTAGTTCTTCTATCTTAAATTAACCCATTTCTGTTAATATATATGTCACCACAGGTTCCGTGGCTTTACCTCTGCCTTTACATGCTGCTCCCTGGAGGGCAGGCTGGCATCTCCCCATCCCCCACCAACCCCTCCCCTCCCCCCAGCTTCCACCTCCCAGCCTCTCTTCTCTCTGCTTGTCCCGACTATCCTATACTTCCTGCCTGGCTACTGGCCAATCAGTGTCTTATTTATCAATCAAACATAGCAACATATATTCACAGCATGTAGGAAATCCCACAGCACTTGTATTCTGGACACAGTACATTCCTCACTTGAGTGTGGTTCCTTCAGCCCAGATACCAAGTGACTCGGAAAGCTGCTAGCTTTGGGTGGGGCCTGGGACAGGGGAAGGCTCTGCAACAGGTCCAGGCTGCTGTACAGGCTGCTCTGCCTGTTGGACCACATGACCCAGCAGACCCGATGGTACTTGAAGTGGTAGTGGCAGGTAGGGATGCTGTTTAGAGCCTTTGGCAGGCCCCTATAAGTGAATCACAGATGAGACCTTTGGGATTTTGGAGCCAGACTCTACCATCATCTTCAGACAACTATTCTTCCTTTGAAAAAATCAGCTCTTGGCTTGCTATTGGGCCCTAGTGGAAACTGAATATTTGGCAATGGGCCACCAAGTTACCATGCAACCTGAGCTGCCTATCATGAGCTGGGTGTTATCTGACTACCAAATCATAAAGTAGGGCATGCACAGGAGCAGTCTAGTATCAAATGGAAATGGCATTTATGTGATTGGACCTGAGCAGGTCCTGAAGACAAGTTACATGAAGAAGTTGCCCAAATGCCTATGGTTTCTACTCTCATTCCAATGCCATGTACTAACAAGCATGCACCTATAGTTTCATGGGGTACTCCCTATGATTGATTGATGAGGAAGAAAAGACTGGGGCCTGAATTACTGATGGTTCTGCATGTTATGCAGGCACCACCCAGAGGTGGACAGCTGCAGCATTAGAACCCCCTTCTGGGACAACCCTGAAAGACCTGAGAAGGAAAATCTTCACAGTGGGCAGAACTTCGGGCAGTACACGTGGTCATGCATTCTGTTTGAAAGGATATATGGCCAGATGTGCAGTTGTTCAGATTCATGGGCTGTAGCCAATGGATTGAGTAGATGATTAGAGACTTGGAAAGAACATGATTGAAAAATTGGTGAGAAAGATATCTGGGGAAGAAGTATGTGGATAAATCTCTCCAAAAAGACAAAGGATGTGAAGATACGTGTGTCCCATGTAAATGTTCATCAATAGGTGTCTTTAGCTGAGGAGGAGTTCAATAATCAAGTAAACAGGATGACTCTTGTGTGGAGAGTCAGCCTCTTTCTCCAGCCATTCCTGTCATTGCCCAGTGGCCCATGAACAAAGTGGCCGTGGTGGCAGAGATGGGGTTACACATGGGCTCAGCAACATGGACTTCCATTCACCAAGACTGACCTGGCTCCAGCAACTTCTGAGTGCCAGATCTGCCAACAACAGAAACCAACACTGAGCCCTAGATATGACACCATTCCTCAGGGTGACCAGCCAGTGACCTGGTGGCAGGTTGACTACATTAGACCGCTTCCTCTGTGGAAAGGACAACACTTTGTCCTTACTGGAGTAGATACTTATTCAAGGTTATGGATTTACCTTCCTGAATGTAATGCTTCTGCTGAAACCTTATCCACCATCATGGTATTCCATACAGTGTGGCTTCTGCCCCAGGAACTCACTTCACAGTCAGAGAAGTGCAGTGGTTGGCCCACAATCATGGAACCCACTGGTCTTACCATGTTTCCGCCATCCTTAAGAAGCTGGCCTGATAGAAAGATGGAATGGCCCCTTGCAGACACAATTACAATTAGGGAGCAGCAGGCTGCAGGGCCGGTGCAGGGTTCTCCAGAAGGCGGTATGTGCTTTGAATCAGCATCCAACACATGGTACTGTTTCTCCCATAGCCAGGATCCATGGGTCCAGAAATCAAGGGGTGGCAAATGGAATAGTTCCACTAACTATCACCACTAGTGACCCACTAGGAAAATTTTTGCTTCCTTTTCCTGAGACCTTAAGTTCTGCTGGCCTAGAAGTTTTGGTTCCAGAGGCAAGAGTGCAGGAGTTATTCAGTTACTGTGTTTTAGGGCAATAGTACTTGGTTTTTCCCTAGACCCAAGTCCTATCCAGTCTTAGGTTTCTGGACAGCTGAGTAATTTCAGTGATGGGTTCCATCTCACGAAATGGGCTTAAATCCAGTCGGAGATCGGTTGGTGCCTCCCACAGCGTTTGTGCCAACAGTGAACCAGCATATCATGTAAGCAGGTCATCATTGCAGATCACAGGATTCGCCCTGCATTGGTGTTTGCCTTCTCTGATGTGATGCAGAGTACCTTTCAGTACCACAAACACTTAGTCAGTAGTGGGTGACAGCTCTAGTCAGGAGCCAACTCAATTTTCCAGGTTCCATTCAATTAGCTCTATCTAAGCAAGAGGGCCTTACCATCAGTTCGTGGAGAGCAATCAATAGCCTTGGCAATCACATGAGATGTTTGGGGGGTTTCCACGGGGCACCTTTCACCAACAACTCAAATAGATGCAACCCATTCCTGGTACTGAAGGTTTCACATGGTGAAAAAGATGCCTAGTTGGGACATTGTCTCACTCATTATTTGGTGACTCCATTTAGATTTTTCACATATGTATATATTCTAAGAAGCTTCTAGAAGTAGGTTTCCATATGACCCCTCAAATGACCCTTTGTAAGAGCCCCTCCCCATACTCCCTCCCTTTTGCTCCCCTCTCCACACTTAGTCCTCTTACTCGAATGCGGCGACCATGCCAGAAGATTAGCAGGTGGCAACCGACTTCAGGGGATGAGCCCACCAGGAAGCAAACCTCCGAAGGGTGAATATCAGAAGGGCGGGGCTCTGAAGGCTTCAGCCCCAGAATGTCTCTTGCTATGGCTGTGTCTCTGCATGTTTGCTGCTGCCATCCTTCTCTGGTATCTGCCATGGTGTGAATGGGTATGGGAAAATCCCCATTACCCTTAATGTAGTGTGATTATCTCATGGAAATATCCCATTCTACTGGGCATTTTTACCTGTGGATTATTACGAAGATGATTACCTCCTAAGTTGTACCGTTTAACTAATGCAATACCTTTATACAGGAGCAGTGTCAATTTAAGTAGAATTATGATGATTGGGGTTTTTTTAACAAACACAATAAGGGATTATGACAGAGGTGAGTTCAGTGGAAAAATTATCATAGGTAAAGGTAGGATAAAATGTCGCCCCTGGGCTTGGGCAGTGGTGGGTGGCACATGCCTTTAATCCCAGCACTCAGGAGACAGAGGCAGGCAGATCTTTGTGAGTTCAAAGCTAGCCTGGTCCACAAAGGGAATTCTAGGACAGCCAGGCTGACACACAGAAACTCTGTCTCAAAAAAAAAAAAAAAAAAACCAGACTCTGCCAGCACCCATTAGACTAAGAGGTGAGTCTTTGTTCTCCTAGCCAATCACCCCAGCCTCTAGGCTTAGGCCCAGGAGCACAACCCACACCCCTAAACCCTCATCCATTGCAGGCCCAGTTGTAGGCCAGCAGGCAGGACTCCTGCAGGTAGGCTGGAATACTACCATACCCTACCAGACTCTGTAACCTACAAGTCACACCCCACACCCCAAACCTACTCATCTCTGACATCACGGCTGCTCCCTGAGACACAGACTCTGCCAGCCCCAATTGGACCAAGAGCTCCCATTGGACCAAGAATGATGATTGGACCAAAAGAGGCTCCCTCAGACACAGACACCATTTGCACCAATTAGAGGAAGAGATGGGTAGGTGCCAGTGCAAAAATACATTCAACAACATAAAGAGCAATATGGTACCACCAGAACCTAGTGGTACTACATCAACAAGACCTTAACTTCCCAACACAGAGGAAGCATAAAAATCAACCTTAAAAATGAATTTAAGGAGATGATAAAGAAGCAAGCTGGTGTAGCTATCCTAATATCTAACAAGATAGACTTCAATGCTGTGGGACGGTCTGTATGTCAAATTACTCTGATTGGTCAATAAATAAAACACTGATTGGCCAGTGGCTAGGCAGGAAGTATAGCCGGGACTAACAGGAGAAAAGAAAGAACAGGAAGGCGGAAGGAGTCACTGCCAGCCACCACCATGACAAGCAGCATGTGAAGATGCCGGTAAGCCACGAGCCACGTGGCAAGGTATAGATTTATAGAAATGGATTAATTTAGGCTATAGGAACGGTTAGCAAGAAGCCTGTCACAGCCATACAGTTTGTAGGCAATATAAGTCTCTGTGTTTACTTGGTTGGGTCTGAGCAGCTGTGGGACTGGCGGATGACAGAGATTTGTCCTGACTGTGGGCAAGGCAGGAAAACTCTAGCTACACTTCAAACTAAAATCAATCAAAACAGATTGGGAAGGACATTACATATTTATCACAGGAAAAATCCACCAAGATGAAGTCTCAATTCTGAACATTTATGCCTCAAATACAAGGGCACCCACACTCGTAAAAGAAGCATTACTAAAGCTTAAATTACACATCAAACCTCACACACTAGTAGTGGGGGGGATTCAACACCCCACACTCCCCACTGGACAGGTCTGCCAGACAGAAATTTAACAGAGAAATAAGGGAACTAACAGATATTAATACTCAAATGGACTTAATAGATATCTACAGAACATTCTACCCTAACAACAAACAATATACCTTCTTCTCAGCATGCCATAGAACCTTTTCTAAAATCAATCACATACTCAGTCACAAAGCAAATCTAAACAGATAAAAAAAATTGGAATAACCTCCTGTATTTTATCAGACCACCATGGCTTAAAGTTAGATTTCAACAACAACAAAAATTATAGAAAGCCTACAATCTCATAGAAACTGAATAATGCCCAAGGGGTCAAGGAAGAAATAAAGAAAGAAATTAAAGATTTCCTAGAATTTAATGAAAATGAAAGTACAACATACCCAAACTTATGGGACACTATGAAAGCAGTGATAAGAGAAATATTCATAGCACTAAATGCCCACATAAAGAAGATGGAAAAATCTCACACTAGTGACTTAACACCACACCTGAAAGCTCTAGAACAAAAAGAAGCAAACTCACCCAGGAGGAATCAATGCCAGGAAATAATCAAATGAGAGTTGAAATCAATAAAATAGAAACAAAGAGAACAATACAAAGAATCAATGAAACGAAGAGTTGGTTCTTTGAAAAAAATCAACAAGATAGACAAGTCCTTATCCAAAAGGCAGAGAGACAGCATCCAAATTAACAAAATCAGAAATGAAAAGGGAGACATAATAACAGACAAGAGGAAATCCAGAGAATTATCAGGCCATACTTCAAAAACCTGTACTCCACAAAATTGGAAAATCTGAAATAAATGGACAATTTTCTGGATAGGTACTACATGCCAAAGTTAAATCAAGACCAAATAAACTATTTAAATAGACCAATAACCACTAAGGAAATAGAAACAGTCATTAAAAGTCTCACAACCAAAAAAAAGCCCAGGACCAGATAGTTTCAGCACAGAATTCTATCAGATTTTCAAAGAAGAAGTAATTCCAATACTCTTCAAATTTGTTCCACACAATAGAAACAGAAGGAACCTTACCAAACTCTTCTTATGAGGCTTCAGTTACCCTGATACCCAAACCACACAAAGATGCAACAAAGAAGGAGAATTACAGAACAGCCCCCCCCATGAACATTGATGCAAAAATACTCTATAAAATATTGGCAAACTGAATCCAAGAACACGTTAAAAAATTATCTACCATGACCAAGTAGGCTTCATCCCAGGGAAGCAAGACTGGTTCAACATATGAAAGTCTGTCAATGAAATACACCATATAAACAAACTGAAAGAAAAAACCACATGATCATCTCATTAAATGCTGAAAAAGCCTTTGAGAAAATCCAACACCCCTTCATGATAAAGGTCTTGGAGAGATCAAGAATACAAGGAACATACCTAAACATAATAAAGTCAATTTACAGCAAGCCGACAGCCACCATCAAATTAAATGGAGAGAAATTCAAAGCAATTCTACTAAAATCAGGAACAAGGCAAGGCTGTCCACTCTCCACATATTTATTTAATATAGTACTTGAAGTTCTAGCTAGAGCAATAAGGCAACAAAAGGAGATTCAATGGATCAAAATTGGAAAGAAAGAAGTCAAATTTTCACTATTTGCAGATGATATGATAGTATACATAAGTGACCCCAAAAGTTCTACTAGGGAACTCCTACAGCTGATAAACTCCTTCAGTAATGTGGCAGGATACAAGCCTAACTCAAAAGCATTAGTAGCCCTCCTATATACAAATGACAAACTGACTAAGAAAGAAATCAGAGAAACATCACCCTTTACAATAGCCACAAATAATATAAAATACCTTGGGATAACTCTAACTAAGCAAGTGAAGGACCTGTATGATAAGAACTTTAAGTCTCTGAAGAAAGAAATCAAAGATACCAGAAAATTGAATGATCTCCCACACTCGTGGATAGGTAGGATTAACATAGTAAAAACGGCAATCTTACCAAAAGCAATCTACAGATTCAATGCAATCCCTATCAAAATCCCAACATAATTCTTCAGACTTAGAAAGAGCAATACTCAACTTCATATGGAAAAATAAAAAACTCAAGATAGCTAAAAGAATTCTGAATAATAAAGCAACTTCTGGGGGCATCACAACCCCTGACATCAAGCTCTATTATAGAACTGTAGTAATAAAAATAGCATAAAAACCATCATGTAGACCAATGGAATCGAATGGAAGACTCTGACATTAATCCACACACATTTGAACACCTGACTTTTGGCAAAGAAGCCAAAACTATACAATGGGAAAAAGAAAGTATCTTCAACAAATGGTGCTGGCATAACTGGATGTCAACATGTAGAAGATTGCAAATAGATCCATATCTATCACCATACACAAAACTCAAATCTTAGTAGATAAAAGACCTCAATATAAATCCAGTTACACCGAACTTGATAGAAGATAAAGTAGGACATAGTCTTGAACGCATTGGCACAGGAGACTTCCTAAATAAAACACTTCCTAAATATAACACCAGTAGCACAGATACTGAAAGCAACAATTAATAAATGGGACCTCTTGAAACTGAGATTTTGTAGGGCAAAGGACATGGTCAATAAGACAAAATGACAGCCTACAGAATGGGAAAAGATCTTCACCAACCCCACATCTGACAGAAGGCTGATCTCCAAAATATATAAAGAACTCAAGAAACTAGACATCAAAACACCTAAAAATCCAATTAAAAAATGGGCTACAGAGCTAAACAGGGAATTCTCAACAGAAGAATCCCAAATAGCTGAAAGACAGCTAAGGAATTGCTCAACATCCTTAGTCATCAGGGAAATGCAAATCAAAACAACTCTGAGATGTAATCAGAAGTTTTCCTGTGTCCTTCCAGGTCCTACAGTTGCTCAGACCCAAGTAAACAAACAGAGGCTTATGTTACTTACAAATTGAATGGTCTACTGCTCAGGCTTCTTGATAGCTAGCTCTTACAACTTAATCCATTTCTATTAATCTATAAGTTGCCATGTGACCATGGTTACCAGTATCTTCACATCTTTCTTCACCTGGCAGTGCTAGCCAGGCATCTCCCCCTCCTCTTCTTTCTTCTCTCTGTATCTCTGCTTGGATTTTCTGCCTGCCTCTAAGCTGCTTTGCCATAGGCCAATGCAGCTTTATTTATCAACTAAGCAGAGCAACACATATTCACAGAATACAGAAAGACACCCCACAGCACTGAGATACCATCTTACACCTGTCAGAATGGCTAAGATCAAAAACACTGATAACAGCTTATGTTGGAGAGGATGTGGAACAAGAGGAACACTCCTCCACTGTTGGTGGGAATGCAAACTGATACAGCCACTCTGGAAATCAGTATGGCAGTTTCTC